TGTGTGTGTGTGTGTGTGTGTGTGTGTTTGTATATACAGTATGACAACAACTGAAGACAAATGAAGTCTGTCTATCTTCTATCTTCCCACTGAGCGTATTAGGGGTGTTTAGTTTTGTTTCTCATGATACCATTTCAGACTTAAAATGAAAATGCCATAATCTAATAACTACTTTGCAAAATGTTGGCCCTCCACTAAAAATTTAATTTGGATTTCAAAAGAAAGTAATTGAAGATCCCTGATTTTAGGGTAGAGAAATAAGTACACCGCAAATCTACAGAGAGTGAGAGAGAAATCCTGGATGTGTGGAAAGTTGTGTCTTAAAATGTGGGTATTTGTGCTCTGTGCTGTGGCGCTTGTATAAGGTTGTCTGAGAGCAGTTAGAGAAAGAGAATTCTTGAAGAGGGGGAATGTGTGCTGGTAATTGCCTCAGTTTGGATATTTGCCCTGGGGTTCACAATAACAGTCCTCTCCTCTCATCTTAGAACAAGGGCCAATCATACCTCATGGCTATGCAACTACCCTCTGCAACACAATATAATAAGAGTCCACAAAACAACCCCTGTTACTGAACTTTAATCCCAACAGTGATTAATGGATGCTGAGTAAAGTAATTCACTATTTAAAAACTGAAAAATTCAATATGATTAGTTCACCCCCAGTGCACTTGACAATTACAAAAAACTAGGTAAAGTACTGATTTAACAATAATTCACAGTTAATTTATGCACATAATTCATCTTGCCACAGAACAATTGACCATAATAACTGTTTGACAGTTTCACAGCCATATACACTCCCCTCCAAAAGTATTGGAACAGTGAGGCCAATTCCTTCATTTTTGCTGTAGACTGAAAATATTTGGGTTTGACATCAAAAGATGAATATGAGACAAGAGATCAACATTTCAGCTTTTATTTCCAGGTATTCACATCCGGATCTGATAAACACAACTTAGAAGATAGCACCTTTTGTTTGAACCCACCCATTGCTCATGTAACCATAAATATTGGAACAGATTGACTTAAACTAGATTAAAGTGAATAAAACTTAATATTTAGTTGCCAATCCTTTGCTTGCAATAACTGCATCAAGCCTGTGACCCATTGACATCACCAAACTTTTGCATACTTCTTTTGTGATGCTTTTCCAGACTTTCACCACAGCCTCTTTCAGTTTTGGGGGGTTACTCCCTTCAGTCTCTTCTTTAGCAGGTAAAATGCATACTCTATAGGGTTTAAGTCTGGAGATTGACTTGGGCAGTCTAAAACCTTCCACTTCTTGCCCCTGATGAACTCCTTTGTTGCACTGGCACTATGTTTTGGGTCATTATCTTGCTGCATGATGAAGGGTCTCCCAATCAGTTTGGTTGCATCTTTCTGTAAATTGGCAGACAAAATGTTTCTGTAGACTTCGGAGTTCATTTTGCTGCTGCCGTCATGTTTCATCATCAATTAGGATTAATGAGCCTGTCCCAGAAGAAGCGAAAGCCCAAGCCATGATATTACCTCCATTTTGTTTCAGATGAGCTTGTATGTTTGGGATCATGAGCAGATCCTTTTTTTTCTCCAAACTTTAGCCTTACCATCACTTTGGTAAAGGTTAGTGTTTGTCTCATCAGTCCATAAAACTTTGTCCAGAATTTTTGAGGCTCATCTCCTATTCTTCTTGCTAATGAGTGGTTTACATCTTCTGGTGTAACCTATGTACTTTTGTTCATGAAGTCTTCTGCGAAGAATAGATTGTGATACCTTCACTCCTGCCCTCTGGAGGTTGTTGCTGATGTCACTAACAGTTGTTTTAGGGTCTTTCTTTACAGCCGTCACAATGTTTCTGTAGTTAACTGCTGATGTTTTCCTTGGTCTACCTGTTCGAGGTCTGTTACTTAGTACACCAGCGGTTTCTTTCTTCCTCGGGACATTCCAAATGGTTGTACTGGCTGGGGCCAATGTTTGTGCAATGGCTCTGATTGATTCTCCATCTTCTCTCAGCTTCACAATTGCTTGTTTTTCACTCATAGACAGCTCTCTGGTTTTCAATGTTCCAATACTTTTGGTAACATGAGCAATGGGTGGGTTCAAACAAAAGGTGCTATCCTCTAAGTTGTGTTTATCAGATCCAGATGAAAATACCTGGAAATAAAATGTTGATTTCTTGTCTCATATTCATCTTTTGATGTCAAACCCAAATGTTTTCAGTCAACAGCGAAAATAAAGGAATTGGCCTCACTGTTCCAATACTTTTGGAGGGGAGTGTACATGGACTTTGTTTACATCACAGCTGCAACATATTTCACCCAAAAATGAAAATTCTGTCATCATTTAGTGGGCATATTTCTTTCTTCTGCAGATAATTAGGGTCCAAATGATACTAGACCCGACTGATTTTCATTGTTTGGAAAAAAAATTAAAGTAGCCTATCTTTCACAGAAGAAAGTTAGTCATACAGATTTGGAATGACATAAATGACAACATTAGTTTAACAGTATAAAAATAAAGGAGAGGAGAGGAGAGGAGAGGAGAGACTGAACGATTGCTGCTCTGTAAAGTGAAGCCATGATGCTCTTTTCTGTGTGAGCTGGAGAGGGTTTGAAGAGGGGCATTTCTGAACCTCGTATCACACACTGCAATTAGTGTGGGCTAAAGATGCCTCTCTGTGTGGGAGAGAGAATGAACGCTGGTGTGCAAAAGCGAGAAACAGCTCTGTGGACATTTGTATTGTGTTGAATTGGTGCAGGATATGTAGGGAGTGGGATCTGTGAAGTAAGGGACATCCACCCTCACAAGCACTCAAAAGATGGCTGACAAAAAAAAAAAAAACAGTTGCTCCTGAAAATAAGAGCTGTGCATGTTGTTTCCAAAATATCTGATTTTTTTTTTCTGCTTCCATATTACACGTCTAGAAATCTTCTATTCATTCACAACATCTGTTTGATTCTTCCTCACTTCTGGAAGTTGTTGACTATATGTAGATGCTCAGCGGCATATCCGATGCAGCTGGCAGCTGGTTTCAAGACAACTTTTTTTTAATAACCCTGCAATGCGGGCATACAGGTGTATAATGATGTATATTTCGAGATTATCTGGTGTTTAGAAAGTAACTTTAGTTGCATTGAAGTGTAGGTTTGGTGTATGGGACTTAAAGAATAGGAAATACAAAACCATAGCTGTTTGGGTCAGGCAAGGTAGAAAACATGTATAATAACAAGTTAGCTGAAACAATATTTCCACAGCTAATACTTTAGCTTCAGTTGCATATGGTTAATATTGAAGGGGTAGTTCACTGAAAATCTCATCTGAAATCTCATCTGAAGTTGTTTAGTATAAAAAAAAGGAGTCAAAACAACTTCAGTGTTACATGCCTTCTGAATCCCTACTACAGCTTTGTGCTAATTATACACATTTTGGGCAACAAGAGCATGAACGGATGATGACAGAATTTTTTTTTCAGTTGAACTACCTCTTTAATGCAGAAAAGTCAACGCTAATATAACTGCTGTTAAAGAGCCCCACTGAGAGCCCTCCTAGCCAAAATAGCAGGGTGAGTGGGCGAATTAGCACTCGTCATTGACCTGACACATGACATTACACAAACATTTTTGGGAAGTTTCATCCCTGACAAAGCCTTCAGTGAGTACCCAGCCCGTCTAATATTAGAAAACTCCTGTAGCTTTAGAGGACGAACATACCTGCGAGGACCCTATTGACGGATGAGTGTGTTGCCAGGCCCGGCTGTCCTCGCTCATGGAAGATTCCAGCATACGGCAAAAACTCTGGCAGGAGGAACCGCCTGGGAGAGATGGAGGGAAACAGAGGCAGTGTGAGAGAGAATGACAAGACATGTGAACCCAAGATTTGAGAGTTTTGAGGTCGAGGAACACATATCAGCATCACATGCATATTTCACAGGGAAGAAAATTCCATAGTGCACTGTGACAAATTCAGCAAAACAACATATCCAGTATGACAGATGAAATGTGCAAAATGCTGATTTTAAATATAAATGATTACAAAACCAATTTCAATACAAATTACAATTGTGAAAAGTATCAATAAAAAGTTAAAATAATAAACAAATTAAATTCCCCAAATGTGTGCTATATACACTACAGTTCAAAAGTTTCAAAAAGACTTTTTGCAGCAAAGATGCAAATTTATCAAAAGTGACGGTAAAGATGGTTACAAAAGATTTCTGTTTAATCATGTGAAACTTTCTCTTTGAACATTCTATTCATTAAAGAATCCTGAAAAAATGTATCAGGGTTTCCACAAAAATATTAAGCATCACAACTATTTTCTACATCAATAACAGAGTTGACTAGAGTAATGGCTGATTTGCCATCACAGTAATAATTAAATTTTTAAATATATTAAAGTAGAAAACAGCGATTTTAAATGGTAATAATGTTTCCTAGCATTACTGTACATTACAAGTAGTGTACATTTATAATAATATAATATTTATTTACATTATTATTATTATTATTATTAGAACATTGTGTCATTTCTCTTACATCAACTCAACTGTGAGTCAGGTCTCCTGTGTACTTTTTGTGCCTGCAGAGTGCTATTTGTACGACGCACAACACACTCTCAGCTGGACACTGCCCATGTATGCAGTAGGCAGTGAGGCAGCTCACTAGGTTTTGAAACAGAGTTAGCATGTATTTCTGGTGTATTGGCAGACTAAAAGTGTTCCTACCTGGGCACAAAGCGACCAAGGGAGGGGGCAGACATGCGTGCGTTACGAGGAGCCCTATGTCTGCTTCCATTGTCCCTGTACGTACACACACACACACACACACACACACACACACACACAAACACACACACACACACAACTGCTCAGCAACAATATAATCATTAGATCAAAAAATAATTTGTCTTTTGTAATTTTGGAAAATAAAGTTAAAGCGTGAATACTTAATAAATGAAACAACTAAAGTGTGTAAGCATTTTTGCAATCACATTTTAGCTGAATGAGAACACCAGTACGCTCACAAGGTAAGAGTGGGAATGATTGATAAAGAACTGAAAGAAAATAAAAAGTTTATGAAAATTTTTTTTGGCAGACATAAATATTAATATGAAGGCTAACTGAAAGACTGATGGGTTTCATAAGTATTCTGATGAATATGGATCTGTGGTCCCAGACTGCAGTGAACGCTGAACTCTCCAGCCAGCGGGTGGAATTATTCATCAGCTCAGAGGAGGGCATCTAATCCGTGCCAAAAAAAAGAGAGAAAGAGAGGGGGAGAAGAGCTCGGCGGTTTGGAGAGGAGAGAAACAACGATATTCAACTATTGGAGGGGTTGGAGAGAGGGAAAGAGAGACATTTTTTGGAGCATTAATGGTTCCATAAAAAGGACCAGTGACTAGTTGGCTTCTTCCAAAAACACATTTGCAAACAAATTAAGAGCGCGTTTGCATATTCAAAATATGATTCTGGACTTCATTACAGTTCCCAAAATAAGAGTATTGCTCAGGTTTGTAAATGTCTGATAATGAGATTGCAAGGGATGTGTAATTTCATAATTTGCTCATGGAAAAAAAATGGCTTAGTAAAAAAAAAATAAAAAAAATAAAAAAAAAGAGATAAGAAATCCAAAAGCAACTCTTATTTTTCAACCCCCCTATGCCCCATCTGCCTTTGTAGAGTCTTATCCAATGTCTTAACAAACGTCTGTTATACACGCAGCCTGTATCCCCTACTCACATATCCCATGGGCACCTATTTCATTAGAACGCATTCTAATCATTACACATAATTTACTTTATATTTAATAATATTTATGTATTCGTTGTGTACACTACCGTTTAATAGTTTGAGGTAAGCAAGAATTTGGCATTAAAAGAATTAATTACATTTTATAAGTTTTAAATAATTATTTTACAGTTTTATAATATTTCACAATTTTACTGTTTTTCTGTATTTATGATCAAATAAATGCAGCCTTGGTGAGCATAAAATACTTCTTTTGTGAACATTAAAAAAATCTTACTGACCACAAACGTTTGGATGGTAGTGAAATTTGTTTAATAATTAATTATAATAATAATAATAATAATAATAATATAATAATAATATAATATGTATTTTAAAAAGCACAATACAAAAGTTTGAATTCAACTGAAAACACAAAAGAATTCTTCTCTGACTTATATAACTTCACAGTTGTCCAGCAGATGAGGAAAAAAGCAGCAAGCACAAAGCCGTACATTACTACGTCCCATCGGAATCAGTCAAAGTGCATTTCAAGCCAAGGCTAAACCTAATGCCAAGCGCTATAAGAAGAGATGCCACGGGCAACTCTGGTAAAATTGTTGGCAAGCTCAGTAAGTCGGTTGAAAAGCAGAAATGATAACATTTTGGGATTCAGAGCCTGCCTTGTATGTTTGTTCAGTTGCCTAGCAACAAAACAGGGAAATAAATCCATAGAGATTTTTACGAGCGGATGAGAGTAGGTAAGAATGCAGAAACCATCGCTTGGCACAGGCTTTGTGTGTCTGTGTTGTTTACTTACTCAAACTCCTCAAAGTCAACTTCGTTGCTCTCCACGCTGGGTGCAGGGCCAGGGGAGAGGCTGCTGGGATTGGAGGACAGGGGTCGGGGTCTGCTGGAGGGACGTTGAGAGCGCTGGCGAATGCTGTCACGCCGAGACAGATACTGGATCATACGCTGTGCGTAATATGCTGCAGGGGACAACCTACACACACACACACACACACACACACAGAACACAGATAGAACCCACAATGATGTTAGATATTTACTAGACCAAACAAGTCATCCTCCTGTTTCTATACTGATGTATTAATCAAATAAATACATGCACAGAGATGCACTGATTCACTATATGTGTGCCAATATTGGTATACTGCCAATACTGATAGAGATCCTTCAGCATCTTAAACTCGTGAACTACAGCTATGGTTATTTTTATCTGTCTAAGCAGTTTTTTCAACTGGCCATGGTCATAACTTTTTAAAGTCAGACAAAAAACTAGATTGGCCCAATTTTAATTAAAGTAAGAAAAGTAAGACTGATTACCTCTTGGCTAACTGTTAGTTGGTCAAAATAGTTCTTAAAGGGGTCATATGATGCGATTTCAATTTTTCCTTTCTCTTTGGAGTGTTACAAGCTCTTGGTGCATAAAGAAGATCTGTAAAGTTGCAAAGACTAAAGTCTCAAATCCAAAGATATGACCCCTTTAAGACACAGTCTTAACATAGTGGCTATGTTTATGCAACTGGCTCCTGTTCACTGAATTAGTAACATTTTCATGTTTGTAGAGTAACCATCTGACCTTTTCCATCCTGACAGGAATCTCCCCAGATCATCTTCTGTTTTTAAAAATCTTTTATGCATAGCTGATATATACTTAATACTAACTTTAGTACCCACTCAATAAAAGCTGCATCTATTCTCATTTAATTCAGCTGCAGAGACATTAGCATTTTGGCAGAAGGACTCGCTGAATGAAGCCCTCAAAACTAAAATCCTCTGTGCAGTTTAGACAGGAAGAGCATCTGGAGTTTCATTCTGTCTTGGACTAGTTGAGCAAGGACATCTGCCACCAGCTTGGAACAGATGAGCTTAATACTAAGACAAACAGAGCTAAACTCCAAATAAACCCCAGGGTGTGACAATGGTCACACATCCTCACCAGTCACAAAGAGAATTACTGTAATTATGAAGCCAACGAAACCGAATATTTTCCTCACAAAACAACACAACTTGGCAGAACTTTTTAGAGCTCAAAGGAACTGAGAATCAGCCAAATCAGTGACAGTCTGTCTGTAAGAGCCTAAACACACAATGCGCACACACAGTTTATCAGCATGTGTTTGAGGACGTGTTTTAGGCCAATATACAGAGAGAGAGAGAGAGAGAGAGAGAGAGAGAGAGAGAGATCTGGGAAACAACCGTGTCATATAGTGCCAATTACTTGTGGCTCTGAATGTGTTGGAGTCAGACTATCCCTGTGCTCGGATGACTTCTAACACCAGGTACATTCTGCTCAGGGGGAATTGAGTCTGTTGTGGTAATTCACAGGTTAGAGGTGTGCGTCAGCCTGTGTGTTTGTGCAAACCTGCTAGCGGGAGTCCGTGCTAACAATCCGCCTTGATCCGAGACCACAGCTGATTCCCCAGAGCTCAACAATGACTCACTAGCCATGAACTCACTTTATTATGAGCCTCGCTCACAGAGTCAGAGGATGCTGACAGGCTATGTGTGTGCCCGTTTGAATTAGGGGGACATTGGTGTGCTGGCAGGTCTGAAATGTCACTCCGCTGTACGACAACGTGACACACACACTTCCTCATTACCTAGACCTCACCGGCCAAGTGGCATGACCATGAAATGCAGTTCACACAACACACACACAAACATACACATCACACACACATTGAATCACCTGGCCGGATCGGGATAGATGGGGTGGTCTCGTGATCCAGAGACGTTGTATCTGGAAAGAGACATCATGGATGACTCCAGCAGCCTCCTACAAAACACAATTACATTGCATTGTATGTTTCTGAATTGCGAAGACTTTCACTTCCTGCTCATTTAAAGAATCTCTGGACAAGACATCACAGAAAGAAGATGAAGACCCATTTTCCTCCGATTTCCACTATGCTGTTTCTACAGCAACACTCCTCACCATGGGCCATCACAATCATTAAAAATCTCATTAAACTGCACAAGGACATTAGTATGCTCATTATCGACAGTTATGCGAAGGCTAAATGAATGTAATGTGTAAGTAATGATGTGCGCTCTGCCAGGCCTGGCTAGGAATCGGTTAATAACCCCTTAAATTGGGGCATTTGTCAAGTTTGAGTTTGTACAATTCCTCATACAACAAAGAGTTTGCTGAAGGCCATTAAATGACAAGACCGAGTCCTGCGGACGAAAACGTGCTGCCTCAGACTGGCAGGGCACAAAGCTGGACGGACAGTTGTGTAGCGAGCGGGGCATTTTTATTCAGCATGAGTCAGTGTGGTGTGTGTGTATGTGAATGTTTTTAGTGTGGGTGTGCTCGGCTCTTCATTAGAATGCCATCTTCTGCACTTTGACTCACAGCAAAAACAGAACGGATCGATTCCGACGCCTTTTCCCACATTTACTTTGTTTGCTCCTTTTGACTCTTAAAGATCAAATTCTGCATTTTAACAGAGATGAAGCAAACAATGCTCTTTAAAAACGCACAAAATATTTACGAAACATCCTGTTCTGGTAATGTTGGCTGTACGGTATTTTTAACATGTTTTGTCTGCGATCACCTTCAGAAGTAGCACGTGTAGCATCATTTGGTACTACAGTATTAAGATCTTTTCACGTTTCTGTATTCTACAGTAACTTTTAAATGTCAGCTTTTATTTTGTATCTATATGCTACTCTAATGAGGCAACTGTTATTAATTAAACAATTTCTATTTATTTTACAGTAAACAAGTTGCTCTTGTTTCAGGTACGACACCATAGCACGTAGTGGGAAGACTTCATTCTGAAACTTTGCTCCAAGCTCAAAGCTGTGAGTCAGTAACACTGAACTGGAGCGGGACTCATGGGAGAACGTCAAATGATATTAATTCTTCTTGCACTTCTGCATAAGTGAAGTGTGATACTGTTTTTTTGTTGCACAGCATTGGCCTTAAAACACATCCAAATCACAGCACAGCCATGCACATGGGACAGGCTGTTCGGTGACATGAAAAGAGGAGGACTGTGTGTTAGAGTGCAAGTACATCATCAGAATGAAGACCTACAGGCCACTTAGTGATGGAGGTCTGTGCGCAAAGTTACCGCCACAAATGCACAGTGTAATGAGCTACTGCCCCCCAATGGACTTTAGCTGGCATTGCAGGAACCCTTGAGGGGAGTATCTGCAAAGATTGTCCCATATTTTAGGTCAGATTTCTTACAAAAGTGCCAATGTGATGAACTTCAACTTATAAAAGTGGGTCGGTTAACTTAACTGCAGCACCCAACAAAATCAGAGTTCTCTTTATGAGCCAAGTGACCTAGCGTTTGCATGACTACTAAGTCAAAGTAAGTCAAATGTGACAGTCCAGAGAAGCAGTTGAATACCAGGCTGAGTCAATGCTTTCCTTAAATGACTCAAGTAGACACAGTGCAGCATCAGCAGTCTGACCCAGAGCTCATAGGGACATTACCAAATAAAAATACAGGACTAGTTTTACAGGGCCTTAAAGGTGACATCATGAAAATCTGACTTTTCCAGGTTTTAAGTGCTATAATCAGGTCCCTGGTGCATCTACCAACCAAGGAAACGTGAAATAGGTTAACCCAGTAACTTTGTTTTGGTAAGCCTTTTTCTGCAAGCATCTGAAAAAACGAGCACGTCTGATTTCGCTCCCTTAGTGACGTGGCAAAGGGATCTCATTATAATATTACCGCCCCTTAATCTGTAAGCTTCCACTCACGGCACCATCATTTTGATTTCACAGGCGACAACGGTGTACCAGCTCTAATGCCATGGCGAAAGTTTGAGCAAAACATGCTAACTGTTCGGTCTTTGGCTGCACAGACGAGCACAGAACACTATTTAGAGTCCCAGCCTCAGAGGAGACAAGAGAGCAGTGGATTTATTGATTTATTTA